CCGATCAAATGCTGGTGGCTATTTAAATTGTTCTTGCCCTCGCGGGCGCCTCCATGAGATGTGTCACGTCGTTCGTGTGCCTTTTGAGCGTTTTCACCTAAGTCGCTCGCGGCTGCCGGCTGTCAACCCTGCGTATCTTCCTTCGCCTGACCTATTACTCCGTTCTGAGCAGATGTTAGCCTTGTGCGGAGCGCTTGGTAAGCGTGAGGAAGCTCTATGGCTATGTTAAGTATGCCAATCGAGTACCAAATTTCTAGCAGCAATCTGGCCGTCTTGTCATTGGCTCGGCCTACTACCCATGTTTACTCAAAGGCGAACGTATAGTTCTTCTGCTGCACGTGGTTATATACCATAGACAGCCTATCCTTGCGATGCACTGACTGTTGCTGCTCATGCAGTCTTGTGTCAAGGCGTCTGCCCATTTCACCAACATACCTTGCATTGCAGTCTTGGCATGGTATGCTGTAGACCACAGCTGATCTGTCTCTATTTGCTGCAGTCGATTGAACGGAAGCCTACCTTTAGAGCACTAGACCTGCCCAGAAACTTCCTTCTGCTGGTATATTGTTGTTAAAAAAAACAATTGGCAATTGGACAAATGACGTCTTCCGCGTGCCTCGTGCAGTGACCAGTTTAGAGAATGATGCAGACGTGCGTGGCACCTAGCGCGCTCTCACCCAAAGGCGCCTGGGTGTGGCCTTGGCAACTCGTCTACGTCTGATCTCCGCAGCAGGTATCCGGCTTCCGTAAGGGTTATTCGGACTTCACATTACTGAAACTGTCATTAAAGCCACTTTAAGAAGGGAACACTGTCTTGTCTACCGTACATATGCAGTTAATAAAACGAACTGGTACTGCCAAGTTCAACTTGCCTGTCTCTCCCTTCAGTTAATCTACACACCCTAGCTGACAATATGCGCCAGACAAAACATAGATTGGTCGATAGCTACCTACGTCATGTCCATCTTGCAACGGCTCAGTTCCCGGGTGCCAGCGCTATGACCATCTACACACGACAAGCTCCTTTGATCGGCTACAAACTAAATTGCTGCCCCTATTCCATCTTAGAGGGGTTTATACTCAGAGTGCCAAATCTCGGGTTGTAATAAAGTCCAGAAGGCAACAGGATAGGAGAAATTTACTGTGCACAGAACTCCGACTTGCGGTCTAAAGCAGCAGTGGCCACTGACGAAGCCAGAACTAATTGAGAAGAAGAAGATGTGATCGCTGGGATAAGACTTTTACTTGCTTGCTGTTCCGAAGACCGTTGCGGATTCTCCATAAAAGACATTAGCATAAGGAGTAGCAGAAACTGGTCCAGAACAAGTGTTGGTGGCCTCTAGTCATAGTCATCGGACCGTTTACGCTCGAACTATCTTCCAAGCTGCCAGACTAGGCATTTCAGGGGAAGAAGATAAAATTGCGGGAACAAGAAGTCCACTGGTTTGACGTTTCGGATTCTCGCTTTAACCCATCATCATAGACAATGGCAGAAAAGGGAGGGGTGGACAACACTGATATAGCAGCTTTCCAGGAGACACGGCGGTGGAGACGAAGTGATTGTTGTTTCTTGTGGTTTCCTGACAATATTTTTTGTCTTCATAAGCCACGATCAGACCTGTCGGGGTGTGATTGGACACGTTTGCCATCTCGAGAAAGTAAGCAATACTACCACTGAACAGGGCTGTTTGGACATCCCAAGCGACTGCCTAATTCTATTAGTAGTCACGACCCGAATCAGCTTGTACCTTCTACGGGATGGTATATAACTTTCTCCGGAAGGCAAAAGCATAGGGATCACACACAAATAGGCGACGCACGTCCCTACCTACTTACGCTTGTTGGCCAAGGACAGGTTGTATTGGCCCAACTCTGAGCGTATGCTGCAACGTTGGACCTCTCGCATCTTGCGACTGGTTGCATGTGCGCATCAGTGGTAGCCGATCCGGGCTGTCCTAACTGACCAATCATCTTAAACGCTGACTTATACATGGCCACACTGGTGACGGTGTGGCAACATTCCATAGTCTCATACTTCAGAGGCCGGCCTAGTGGGCCTCGGCTTGAGTTCGTTCGACCCCAAACTCCTCCTAGCATAGTCCCCGATGGTTCTGCGCAGAATACCCTATTCCTCTCAACTAGCATTTCACTTCTCTTCTTTTAAGGAACTGGGTGATGCTGAACCCCAGATGAGCGCTGATTGTCGAGGCAGAGTTAGGTGACCTAGGAGTACCCACCACGTCCGCCGAAGTGTACAATGGGGACCATCAGTATACTGCTTATCAGTGCTTACCAGCACCGTGGTCGGGTATGCTCTGACTGGCCCATATGACGTCGCCTATGTTGTGCTGAGTATCCTAGTTAGTACTAGCGAGAAATATATACGCTTTATTTTGAAATATCGTTCGAAAATGTTCAACCTTAACGTCCTCATTTCACTGTGGATAAAATTAGGCAGACAAACCACATACCACCGGAAGATCACAAAAGATGCACTCCAACATCCAGTCAAATTGTCCTTAAATGAGTCGCAAAATGTAGGTAAAATTGAACTTCTTTCAAAACGGTGCTAGCATCGTGCGCTAACTGCCTCATTTTTGTAGTTTGAATAAACAACCGGGAGTAAAAGTTGGCTTGTAATGGGTGCAATAGGTTAACCGATGCATGCATAAGACATTTACATGCGAAAGGAGAACAGAAAAGAGGCGACTTTTCAGTTTTAAAAGCCCACATAATAGTATGATATTGTGCAACAACCATTCAACCCTATCGGCGAACTGGAAGTTGCAGTAGAGTTGCCACTTACACTATAGCCCACGAAACCCAATGCACACCCGAGTCCACAGTGTGCAGTTTATAAAGCGAGTTTGAGCCTCTGTAAGTGGCTTTGAAAGCTCAGTTTCAAAAGGTCGGTGTTTGATTCTGAATAAGCAGAGCATTTAAAATAACCTACTTCACATTGTTCTCCAGTGTATAGCTGGTTTTTCTATACACGTGATTCATTTTGAAGATATTAAAAGGAAATTTCAGAATTCCTTGAGTTTGACCTCATCTAAAAAGACCGCATAAACAAGGCAGAAGACCACCTGATGATGAAGTCGACTGCGAGTCCGAAGCTTTAGATGAATAAGGCTCTTTTCAGATATGTTGTTCCCTTATTTCCACTTTATAGCACAGATCTATACCACGTTGTAAGTAAACAGTCCTGTTTAGAAGAAAATTACGGACAATGTGTAGGTTCAGAGATTTTAGATGTCTGTCTAGCCCAAAGTTCATTTTGTCAGTTTTTGAGGCAACCCAGGGGAATACTGCCGTTGAATATGACCTTAATATTTGGCTACAGACCACTGCAATGGTGAGGACTGCCAATATATCGGAGAAATGAGCGAAAAATTGCAAGATCGTCTGAACGAATGGATGGGCAACATAAAAACCAGGCCGAAACTCGCAAATCATTGTGGAAGTTTGGATTTCAAGAAGTAAACATCTTGAGCTGAAGTAATTCGAAGACCTAGCGAATCACGATAGAGGTGCAGTTTTCAGGTCTTAGTTTATCCGACCATTACATAGACACCCTTCTTGTTTACAAAGTCTAACGCGAGTGACTAAACAAAGATCACGACAGTAGGATGACAGTGAACAACCACTCAGCCGAGTAAAGTACCGTAGCCGACGCATTGAAGCACAAAATAGTCACCGGGGCCCCGAAGCAAGAGAAATGATGGAAGTTTAATTTATGTTCAAGAATTGTTTAAATAATCTAATATCTGTCAACAAAAAAGCGCGCCACAGCTTGTATATTTATAGTTTATTCATAGTTATAGTTTATTTTAGTTTTCCGCTTAGTTTTGATTTTAGATTATTCGTGAGTTTTTAGTTTTATTTTTGTTTTACATTTACTTTTAG